TACATGATACCCAATCCTTTCTTACAGCTGGTCCAGGTCGACCATGTGCTCCAGGATCTCCACGTTTTCCTTTCTGTCCCTTTGGTCCAGGTGTTCCGGGAGTACCGGGGCTACCAGCTGCACCTTGGGGACCCTACAAAATAATCACAAATGATGTTCATGAACATGTTGATTCGAGAAACGGCCATCTTACAGGAGCGCCACGATCTCCAGATTCTCCTTTCTCTCCTTGAGGTCCAGTGTTGCCTGGGGCTCCAACAGCACCAGCTGATCCTGGGTTACCAGGTGCACCAGCGTCTCCCTAACAAAATTAAATAAAAAGTAAAAATAAATGAAATAGTATTCATAATTTTGCTGTAAATGTACTTACTCTTGCTCCTCTTGATCCAGTAGATCCAACAGGCCCAGCTGGTCCAGCAGGTCCCTAGGATAATAATGATCTTAAAAAACTAAACTATAATCTGGGTCACTAACCTGTGCTCCAGTTTCTCCGTCACGACCAGGTGCACCGACTGCTCCTTGTCCTCCTTTAGAGCCAGGCTTACCAGGACGGCCGACTGGACCGTTTGGTCCACGCTCACCCTATCATTAAACCATAATGAGTCACACACACAATACTTTATATTATTTAAAAATTACATCAGCTCCAGGTGCACCAGGATCACCACCCGTTCCTTTCTCTCCAGGATAGCCTCTTGGTCCAGAAGGTCCAGGTCTTCCAATTTCTCCTTGCTCTCCTTGTCTTCCCTGAGGAATGAGGACTCACTAAAGTATTTCCATAATAAGTTAAACTGACAGGTCCTCCTCTCTGTCCTTTGGCACCTTGATTACCAGCTGGTCCAGCTGCTCCTGGTTGACCAGGTCCTCCTTGAGGTCCATTTTTCCCTGGGGCACCACGCTCTCCCTTCTGTCCCTGATCTCCACGAGCTCCTTGGGCTCCCTAAACACAATAAATAATCATTACTACAAACTTCACGCTATAAAATAAAATTATCAATATTTTTTTGCGTAAGATTGTGTAAATTACTTGAGCTCCAACGTCTCCCTTAGCTCCACGAGGGCCAGCAGGTCCACTTGAGCCTTTGGGTCCTTTAGGTCCAGCTTGTCCTGGTGGTCCGGTCGATCCCTTATCACCAGGATCACCCTGCTCTCCATGCTGTCCTTGGGGTCCTTTGTTACCAGCTGGTCCCTAAAGTAATTATTAGTAATACTATTATTATTATTCAATTATCTTACAGGATTGCCTGGGTCTCCATCAGCTCCATCTGCTCCATCATCACCAGTGGGTCCAGTCTCTCCTATTGGTCCAGGGTGTCCTTGAGCGCCAGGTGATCCAGGTGGTCCCTTAACACCGGCTGGGCCGAGTGGTCCTTGATTACCAGGTCTTCCCTGGATAAGTACACACATGTATATATAGAGTATCAGTACAAGCTAATTGACTCACAGGGTGTCCATCAATACCAGGGCTTCCAGGCTCTCCGGGTAGACCAGGTGGTCCCTACAATAATAATAATAATAATAATAATAATAATAATAATAATAATAATAATAATAATAATAAATAAAATTAACAATAATAATATAATAACATAATAATAATAATAATAACAATAACAATAATAATTATAATAACTTACTCTTCTTCCAGGGAAGCCAGGTGATGCATCAGATCCAGGATTACCCTACATTGAAGTGACAATTTAGTTTTATTGTCATTTTAAAATACAACATACAGATGGTCCTCTCGGGCCAGGATCGCCAAGATCACCAGTACCACCAGCATCTCCCTATAATAACAATACAATCAATACGTGGTCTAAAGTAAGGCAATACTTACAGCTGATCCAGGGCTACCAGGCTTTCCGTTGGCTCCAGGTTCTCCTACAGATCCCTATTGTATGTACAATAATGATGATACTGTACACGTACGTGTACATGCATATCTTACAGTGTCTCCAGATGCTCCAGCAGGTCCCTGCTCACCAGGTACGCCATTACGACCGATTGGTCCCTTAGCTCCAGCTTGTCCAGGATCACCATTTTCTCCTTGAGCTCCCTGTAAAGGATAAAATTCACTCACTTTGAGGTCAAAATTATACTTAATTTTTACTCAATTAAAAGTAATAATACTTATTAATAATAATTTAATATAATTTTAGATGTTTACATTAATACATATACTACACTACCACACATCTTACCTTTTCACCTTGAGGTCCTTTCTGTCCCTTTTGACCACGTTGACCAGCATGACCCTAACAACAACAACAACAACAATAATAATAATAATAATTATTATTATTATTTATTTATTTTACAGTCTCTCCAGGGAATCCCATTGCTCCAGTGTCTCCCTTACGTCCGGCATAACCTGTTTTACCAGGTGCTCCAGAGTTTCCTCTCTTTCCTACGTCTCCCTTGATTCCAGTTGGTCCTTTAGGTCCAGGAGCACCATTTTCACCCTGTGAAGGTCATGTTGATAATAATTGAATATAGTTAGTGATTATAATAGACTCACAGGGGCACCATCAGTTCCTCTCTCTCCAGGGTTACCATCACGTCCTGGGGCACCAGCTGGTCCTTGTCTACCAGGACTTCCTTGATCGCCAGGTGCTCCCTATCGTTAATTATTTATTATTAATTATAAACAAGATGATATTTTTTGCTCACAGGAGGTCCTTGGGCACCAGGTGGACCTATGTTTCCAGCTGGTCCTCTAGCTCCCTGTGGTCCTTGTTCACCTTGATTGCCAGTAGCACCAGGTCCTCCCTACATACAGTATAATACATAAAATCTAAAGTTAAAATTAAAAGGTGCGAACTCACGGGAGCTCCTTTGTCTCCTTGATGGCCAGCCTCACCAGGGAATCCAGGAAATCCCTAAAAATTAAAATAATAATTTAACCAGATATACACAGCACAGAGAGCTAACAGGTGGTCCAGGTGGGCCAGGAGGGCCAGTAGGTCCATCAGCTCCAGGATTACCAGCTACGCCAACAGCACCACGGGATCCAGGACGACCTTGGTCACCAGGATCTCCAGTTGCACCGGGTGCTCCAGATTGCCCTGGTACACCAGTTGGTCCCTTAGCTCCAGGGGCTCCAGGAGCTCCAAGGTTTCCAGTAGCACCAGGTGAACCCTTAATTAATAATAATAATAGTATGATGGCGTTATTTATTGTTCCTTATATTTATTCCCTTACAGGTGGTCCATGGGGTCCAGGTGGTCCAGGTGGTCCCTTCAATCCAGGGTGTCCATTAGGTCCAGGGGTGCCAGGTATTCCCTTAATTCCTTGGGGACCTTTCTCTCCTTTCATTCCTGGTTGACCAGCATAGCCGGGGAAACCAATGGCTCCCTAAAAATTAAGAAAAAAAAAACAATAAATCAATACAATTAAAACCTGAAACACCTAATTCTGTTTTAAATCTTTACAATAATCACAACATTATACGAGTATGTACTATACCTTGGGTCCTTTGGGGAATCCAACTCTGCCGGGTGGTCCAGGTGGTCCGTGTGGACCTGGGGCACCAGGTTCTCCGGGGCCACCCTAATAAGCAAGTATTATTTTAAACACCTAATAAACATTCTCTCTCTCATACGGGGTTTCCGGGTTGACCATCAGCTGCATCTTCACCATCTTCACCCTAACAAATAAATAATCAATTAATACAGCAGTTTTTAAATGAAATGTAATTAATTAATATTAATATTAACTCACATTATTTCCAGGTGGTCCAGGAAGTCCAGGTGCACCAGGAATTAACTAATTATTATAAAAGAGAAAAGCAAGTTAAAGAGAGTATAATGGAGCTGCTCTCAGTCTTACTGGGCCAGTAACTCTACCAGGAGGTCCATCAGGGCCACGTGGGGCAAATGGATCTAAAAAGGAAGTAGCACATGATAAATAATTTGAAATACATAAATCATTACATGTGAAGATATTGTATAGTTAGCCCAATTTCGATTATGCAAGTTTTACATTTTTAAACTTTGGCAAAAAAGCACGGACTATAGCCCATGGTTTTTCCAAAAAATGGCTTCAAAATCACCCCCTTTTTTATTACAATTTTTGATACACATTGATGTCTTTATGCTATGTAGAAAGTTTGAGCCGATTTTGACTTCAATTTTTAAAAAGCATGGACCCATGGCTTTCTTTAAAAAAAAATAGCTTCAAAATCACCCCACTGTATTACATGTACATTGTACATGTACAATACTGTATCACAATATGTCAAACTGTCTAATACATGTAGGATATTATTACTATTATTATCATTATTATTTATTATTTTCTTATTACTATACTATATTACAGTACCCCATGCAGTCCCTAGTACTCACTTAAGAAGTTATCACAAGATGTACATTCCTCACTGCCGTGTGGTGTATAACCACCAGCTCTTTGTCCAACACAGCATTCTCTCTTATCTCCAAACTGCACAAGTAATAATAATATAGGATTATTATTATGCATGTACATGTACATTACAAAAATGTAATAATTCTTTTAACATTATGACTTACTGATCCTATGTATCTCCCACAAGGATTGCCTCCGACTGAATTGAAGCAGAAGTATTGTGCATTGACAACTGCAGCGAAACAATGACAAGTAATAAGTAGCATGCTTCTGTAGAATATTTTTTCTTACCTGCAACTATGGCAAGGCAGACTGCACTGTACAAAATGTACTTCATTTTCTAAAATGAAAACAAAAAGCGGATTCATTTTGGCAATCCAAAGATGGCTGACATTGATGAGGTGATAGGCTAAACGTACTTGACTTGTATGATCGCCTCTCTACCTCACAGTGAAGGCAAAGTAAAGCGGTTGTTTCTGTAGGACTGCACTGCAAGTGATACCTGCAGCTGCCAATAAGTGGACTGGCCCAAATTGATGAGTAACATTGATTATAACTGTCACCAGTCTTTACAGAGAACAAAGGCCTACTCTTCATTATTGTGAACAAAAGCCCCTGTTGTAATGGAAGGATAGACCAAACAGCCATTGTCAAAATAGTCACATCTTTGCATTGACTTTAGGAAGCACAACAAACTTTCTTGTATCACATTTTAATTATGTGTGGGCGTACATTTCAATATTACTTTTGAGGATGCAAGGAAGGTGTGTACTAAAAAGTAACTATAATTATTCAAAATGAATTCACATTAATAATGTTCATGCAAACTGATTATGATTCTTCTGGTTTAGAGTCCTCAGATGCACCGCTAGGTTCCTCAGCTGTGGTTTCTTGCTTTTGTTCTTCAGACGGCTGGGTTTCTTCAGTTGGCTGAGGTTCTTCAGTCGCTTGAGGTTCTTCAGTTGCTTGAGGTTCTTCAGTTGCTTGAGGTTCTTCAGTCGCTTGAGGTTCTTCAGTCGCTTGAGGTTCTTCAGTCGCTTGAGGTTCTTCAGTCGCTTGAGGTTCTTCAGTCGCTTGAGGTTCTTCAGTTGCTTGAGGTTCTTCAGTTTCTGGTGGCGGCTCTTCTGATGCTTCAGTTGCTTGAGGTTCTTCAGACTGCTGTGAGTCTTCAGTTGCTTGGGGCTCTTTGGTTGCTTGAGGCTCTTCAGATGGCTGAGACTCTTCAGTTGCTTGGGGTTCTTCGGTTGCTTGAGGTTCCTCAGATGGCTGCGGTTCCTCAGTTGCTTGAGGTTCTTCAGACGGCTGAGGTACTTCAGGTTCTTCAGTTGCTTGAGGTTCTTCAGATGGCTGTGGTTCTTCGGATGGCTGTGGTTCTTCGGATGGCTGGGGTTCTTCGGATGGCTGGGGTTCTTCGGATGGCTGGGGTTCTTCGGATGGCTGGGGTTCTTGAGGTTCTTCTGATGGCTGAGGTTCTTCTGATGACTGAGGTTCTTCTGATGGTTTTTGATCTTCAGTTGCTTGAGACTCTTCAGTTGTCTGTGGTTCTATATCCATTTGTGGTTCCTCTTGATTAGACTCTCCTTCATTTTGAGAGGGTTCGTGAGATGCATCACCCTCCTGTGTTATCACTGCTGGTTCTTGTGATGCTTCTGAACTTTCATGAGGTGCTGTTTCTTGTTCGACCTCCTTTTCCCCTTCTTCTTCTTGCTCATCTTTTGTTGCTTGTGTCTCATCCCCTTCTTGTGGAGGGACACTTTCATCATTTTTTTTCTCCTCCTCTAGTTCTGCAGTAGGATCGTGCTTTTCTTCCACTTCTACTGCAGGCTCCTCTTTCACATGCACATTCTTTGCTTCTTCAATTTGTTGTCCAGCACTTTTTGATTCTTCTGCATATCCTCCTATATACATGTACATAAAATTCATATTTTTTAATGAAAGATCAAATTCAACATGCCTTTCCTTAGCAGAATCTTTTTGTTGAAATATTCAGCAGAAAAGGCTATGACATCTTCTGGCTGTTCTCTTAACACTTCTCTTACCAGTCCCTCCAATATGTGCTCAAATCCAGCCGGGATACGTATCTTTGCAGCAGCATAAGACACAGACATTTTCTTTAAAGTTAAGGTGTGTTTGCGTTTCCTAGGCAACCAGCCACGCCTTCTAAATGGAACTATTCCGGCATCTTATCCTGCAAATTGCCGCGAATTGGCGCGAATGTGTTTTGACTTTACGTGCTTCTCGGTTTATGCAACACTCGGGCTGTGTTGTCTTCATGCTGCATTAGACAACAATCCTATTCATTATTCTCTGCTAAGTCTTTGTCTTTTAGAGGATTCTTCCGGGCATTGTGATCCAGTGAATGGATAACCCAGACTCTGTAAGTCACACTTTAATATAACCAACCCCCTTTAGCAGATTGTTCCAGTACTCTGCTGGTTGGGCCTCTCTGCAGTTGGACTTTGTCACAGCTGTAGATCTTGTCAAGGAATACGTCTTCAAGTCGTAAGTCCTTGCAACTAAGCCTACACTCTAAGGACCGGCTGCCTCTAAGCCGTGATATTCCTCCATTCAGTTACTTCCATAGCTACAGGAGTTAGGTAAGTCCTGCACTGTATGCAGTTATTATCTTGCATTTTTATTGCTGATTGTACAGTGCATGTCAACTTAGCAACTTAGCATTTTGTAACATTATATTTAATATGATAGATCTTATTAATTCTTTTGCAGATGATCATGGCAGCTCAGGCTCTTATTCTAGCATTAATTGGTGTCTCACTTTGCACCTTAGCATGTGAGTTTGCATTATTATTATCATTAATAATTCTGAGAGAACTGTTGTTGGCATTGTTTCACAATGGGTTAGCAGCATTATAATTTGTGCGTGGGTGTTGATTATAGTCACGTGACGTGAGCTTACAAAATACAAATTTGTCAAATTCAACTATTATTCAAGATGGCGATTACAATAAGCCCCTTTCTTTCATTGTTGCGTTAGACAACAATGGCCTATTGATTTTGAAGTCTAAACATTTTTATTGACTGCCCACTGTATGTAAATAGTGTAGCTATGGCAACTGGTACTATTGTAATAACCTGTTGTGTCTTTCAGATGGTGCAGCTCCATTCACAAAGAGACAGGACGGAGTTACAGACACAGACCCATTTGGAGTAAGCCCTCCTCCCTTACTCTCATAATGCATTGACTCTAATTTATCTATAGGACCCTGGACCTCCAGGACCCCCTGGACCAAATTTAGCTCCCGTCCCTGTAATTAATGCACACACATCACCTAACTAATTACACAAATAAATGCATATACTAGTAAAATTATTGTAATATATTTTTTATTAATTAGGGTCCCCCTGGACCTCCTGGTTCACGTGGTTCTGATGTAAGTGACACTATTAATAATAGTTATTATTAATTGATTGATTTATCAATAATTATTACTGATAGGGATTTGATGGGCTTGATGGATCTGCTGGATCAGATGGTGCTACTGGACCACCTGTAAGAATAATAAAGTTGTTTTTTTTTGCTGTTTATAGTATTACTGTTGACACTTGGTATTTTCTATCTTACATAGGGTGACCCTGGTGTTCCAGGACCAATTGGACCCCCTGGAGATCCTGGTGCACCTGCTTTCATTCCACCACCTGTAAGATTCCATTATGTTTATGTAGTATGGTTGAGGCTTTAGATTGCTGCTTAAAATTTGCTAGTTTGTCCTTAATTATGCATATCCAACGTTTTAATAATAATTTTTTGAACTACAGTTACATGTGTACCATTAATGCTTTGAAAAATATTATGTGAACGTCCTTATGCTCTGAAAACATGTTGAATTATGGGTATCATACTACATGTACATTGTATGTCATTCACATGTACATGTATCTATACTTATTATGTGTTTTGTAGGAGCAAGGCATAAAAGGACCAATCATCATTCCAATTGTTGGTGACCGTGGTGACCGTGGACAGTCTGGTGTACCTGGTCGTAAAGGAGTACCTGGACCTCCTGGTCACATTGGACCCAAGGGAACAAGAGGACACAGGGTAATGCACTGTTTGATGATTTATCATATTAATAATGATGTTTGATTCTTGTAGGGAATGGATGGTGAGAAAGGACCAGCTGGTGATCAAGGTGAAGTAGGAAAGGAGGTTTGTTATTATTTATTTATTTATTTATTTATTTATTTATTTATTTTATTTATTTATTTATTTTTAGGGTGTAATTGGTGCCAGTGGACCCAATGGATATCCTGGTGACCCTGGACCGACTGTAAGACCCACACATGCCTTTATCATACTGTGTATCTATTGACTGTGTCATTAGGGACAAATTGGTCTACCTGGCATCCCTGGATTCCCTGGATTACAAGGGGCTAAGGTAATGACATCATTAATAATAAGTGTACTTTAAATTGGGTGCATGTCAAGAAATTTTGTATAGCAATGAAGCATGTTAGATTTAGAATTGCGAATATTTCCTTTCAATTGAAAATTTATGCAACTTCTCATTCTATATTTTTGTATAATCGCCTGATAATTTATATAGGGAAATAGAGGAGCTGATGGTGCTGCTGGTGAGCCTGGTGACCAAGGGCCAAATGGACCACCAGGAGAAGTTGGCAACATTGGACCAGAGGGACCAAGAGTGAGTCCATGATATCTTATACTGACATGAACTGGTGCATAGGGTCCTGATGGAGATGTAGGAGCTAAGGGAGGGGATGGTGAAACAGGAGCCGATGGACCAGCAGGACCACCAGGACCTGATGGATTCCCTGGACAACAAGGAGCACCTGGAGCCCCTGGACCACAAGGACCTCAAGGACCCAATGGACCAACTGTAAGACATGAAATGACACTATTATATTATTATTATTATTAATAATAATAATAATAATAATAATAATAATAATAATAATAATAATAATAATAATAATAATAATAATGATAATAATAGGGACCTCCTGGTGCACCTGGTAAAAGAGGACCAGCTGGGAACCAAGGACCACCCGGTTCTGATGGATCCCCGGGTTCACCTGGTTCCCCTGGAACACCAGGACAGAATGGTGCAACAGGACCACCTGGACCTGCCGGTGCTAAAGGATCAATGGGATCACCCGGTCGTACTGGACTAGCTGGAATAAGAGGACAGACTGGAGAACCTGGTGACACTGGACCACGTGGACAGCCTGGTCGCAAGGGAAATAATGGAGCTGATGGTGACAAAGGAAACACTGGCCCTCAAGGAAAAGCTGTAATATACATACTCCTTCTTCTTCTTCTTCTTCTTTGTTCTTATTATTCGTTATCATACTATTATTGATTGCTCCTTTCTTCTTTGTTATTGTAGGGAGAAAGAGGAGAGAAAGGTTTCAGAGGAGCTAATGGTGCCCCTGGAGACCAAGGTGAAGATGGAAAACAAGGAAATGCTGGCCCAGCTGGTCCACGTGGTGCTAAGGTAATGAAGAAAGAAAGAGAGAGAGAGAGAGAGAGAGTTGGTATTTACTACATGTACATGTACATTATCTAGGGACCACCTGGCCATGGAGGAGTACCTGGAGAAAATGGTAAAGATGGTGATAAAGGAGAGCCAGGAGAGAAGGGAGAGAAAGGAGCACAGGGTATTCCTGGCCTTCCTGTAAGTACACGTATATGTACATGGAACTTTATTTTACTTTATATGCATATCTAGGGATATGATGGTGTACCTGGTGGTGCTGGTGTTCCAGGCAGACCAGTAAGTTTTAGTTTATTATACACACATACGGGATACACATACTAATAGCAATGGGTGGTATTTATACATCACTAATCTTGTTCTCATTATTTTAGGGTGCCAGGGGAGCTAAAGGAGCACGAGGTGACCGTGGCCAACCAGGTGTAAACGTAAGTCTATGACTATAACCACTAGTTCCCTCTCTCCCACGAATATTGATTCACTCTTTATATAGGGACCTGATGGAACTGATGGTATACAAGGACCACCTGGACCTAGTGGTATACCTGGTCCTCATGGACCTGCAGGACCTGTTGGAGACACTGGAGCACCTGTATGTTAATATACTGAATCTCATCTTATCATTGTTCACATTCATAATACATTTAATTACATGTCAATAGGGACAAAAAGGATCAAGAGGAGCTGATGGTCAACCAGGTGCTGCTGGTCCTCCAGGACAACCAGGAGAGACTGGATCAGCTGGTGACCCTGGAAACAAAGGAGACAAGGTCAGTGTCATGTACATGTACATGTACATCCTGTTATCTCAATCTTTTGCTGATACTACATGTGCAATTATGCATATGCGTATACATGCTGAATCAGAGCACTGTGCTGAATCTGCTCATTGGATTATTTATTTATTTGTTTGTTTGTTTGTTTGTTTGTTTATATAGGGTGTTCCTGGTGTTACTGGCAAAGCTGGAGATCAAGGAGCAACTGGTGCCTCTGTGAGTTAGCACATTATGATTAATGTCTTATTGACACTATTGTTACTATGTGATAATATTATCATCAATTGTTAGGGTGTACACGGACCTGCTGGTGACCAAGGCACTAAGGGAGCAAGGGGTGGAGCTGTAAGGAATCTAACGTTTCAAATTATTAATTTAAAATTTATTTATTGATAGGGACCAACTGGAGCTAAAGGTGCCACCGGAGCAAAGGGTAGAGCCGGTGAGACTGGGCAAATCGGAGCTGCTGGTGAACCTGGTCAACCTGTATGTACATGTACATGTATAGCGGTAATTATAATGGCACCTCTCTCTCTCTCCTTTATTAGGGTAAACAAGGTCCCCAGGGAGGTGTTGGTCTCCCTGGTACCACTGGAGCTCATGTAGGAATGCCAAATATTAGAATTATTTATTTTATTTGTTTGTTTTAGGGCGAGCGTGGCTTACAAGGAAAGACTGGCAGTCCTGGACCAGCTGGAGCTAGGGTATGTTACTCTATGCATATTTTAAATTTTTGTTGTTGTTATTGTCATTTATTTATTGTTGCTTATTTGTTTAGGGAGGACCCGGTGGTCGTGGAAAGAAGGGACCTCAAGGTAGACCAGGATTCCAAGGAGTACAGGGTGACGTTGGACAGCAGGGACCTGATGGAGCACCTGGAAGAGCTGTGAGACAAGAAAAACAACAAATTGTTAATGTTTGATGGCTAATTTTCTCTCTCTTTTGTAGGGTCCTTTAGGAGCTGCAGGTAATCCTGGACCTAATGGTTTTCAAGGAGCCACTGGCGGGCCTGGTCCCCAGGGACCAGCCGGTGGTGCTGGTGCTACTGGAGATAAGGGAACTGTTGGACCACAGGGTGTAGCTGGAGGACCTGGACCAGCTGGAAGACCTGTATGAAGGATATAGATGTATGTAATGTGATTTATATGTTATTCGTTACTATAGGGTGACACTGGTGCTGCTGGAGAGAGAGGAAAGAAGGGACCCACTGGATCCCAAGGTTCACGTGGTCCATCAGGTGCTCCTGGTAAACCCGGCCTACCTAGCTCACAAGGATCTCAAGGACCAGCTGGAGCATCTGGCGCTGCTGGAGTACCTGGTCTACCAGGAAAGACAGGACCTACTGGCCCTAAGGGACCTCAAGGTCTACCTGGACCAGCTGTTAGCAATTAATGAACCATTTCTATATCATTTATGCCTCTTCTTTCTTCCAGGGTTCTAAAGGTGCACGTGGTGTTCCTGGACAAGCAGGACCTAAAGGTCCAAGAGGACCTGCTGGATCCCGTGGGGAACAAGGAAAACAAGGAGATGCTGGCCCAACCGTAAACATCATTATTATATACACTGTACATATACTTATTGTTATACTACATGTATTAGGGTAAAGCTGGTGCTGATGGAGAGAAAGGTCGTGCCGGAGCACCTGGTGAGCCAGGAGAGGCTGGAGTACCTGGACCTCAGGGTAGCAAGGGAGCTCAAGGAAAATCTGTAATACATACACTATTGACAACATCAGATGGATTATTTATTGTCTGTTGTAATAGGGCATTCCAGGAAGGCCTGGTGCTAAGGGTGAGGTAGGATACCCTGGTTTGATTGGTGCTAAAGGATTCATGGGTGAGAATGGAGCTAAGGGACCTAAAGGTGACAAAGGACCCAAAGGAGAAAGGGGACCAGCTGGACCTAAAGGAGCCAATGGCGATCGTGTAAGTAGTATGTACCTTGTACTTGTAGAACAGAGTTTCCCACAAAGCATGCTAAGTAGCCTAAGTTAGCTAAAAAGCATGCTTCATATACTGACAAGTACTACAATAGACATGCACATGTACAGTGTACACATGCTTTTGGAACAACTTTTAAAACTTTAAAAATTTTAAAGGATCCCATTTTGATTGGAATCAGCTCAAGCTTGCTACACAACCTATAAGAACATGTATATGCATCAGAGAAAATTATAAAAATAGAAAATTCTCTCCTAGCCATTTTTGGTGAAATTTGACCAAATACCTTAATGTCACAATGTACATGAGATTTATGATAAATTTGTTATTATTATAATTATTTCTATTAGGGCGGTCAAGGACCTGATGGACCCACAGGTTCACCTGGTGCTCAAGGAGAGCCCGGACAGAAAGGACCCCAGGGATACACTGGACTACCAGGAGAAGATGGGAAGAGAGTAAGAGCCAATCCTTCCCTCCTGTTATTATTCTTGTTTTTAGGGACCACCTGGCACTGATGGACGGCCTGGCGATCCTGGAAAGGAAGGACCAGCTGTAAGCTAATCATTAATTAATTATTAACTCGTTAATACTTGTTTTATTATTAATAGGGCGCTCAAGGTGATCCTGGCCCAGCTGGTGGCCCTGGAGCTCCTGGTGCCAGAGTAAGACAAAATAGAATTACAGTGTATGATTGATAATGTTAATACTAATACTCATAGGGTGATCAAGGGCCTAAGGGTGTACCAGGAGACAAAGGAGATCAAGGAGATAGAGTAAGTGTCATTTAGTAATTCAATATCCTAATTCCATTACCTGATTATGGTTGTGTGGGTTAGGGTAGTCCCTATACATACATGTACATGTATAGTGATAATTCTTTTTATGATAATGATAGGGTCTACCAGGACACAAGGGAGACCCTGGTCTACAGGGAGGAGTTGGGGCACCAGGTCAAGCCGGACCACAAGGTGCTACTGGACCACAAGGACCCCAGGGACCAGAGGGACCCAAAGGAGAACAAGGAGATAGAGGAAACAGAGGAGGATTTGGTCCTCAAGGAGAGAAGGGATCACCTGTAAGGATAACAAACTGCACCCACACACACTGTGTACTCATTCACTCATGACATCCTCCTACACACTCATTACGCATAATGACAACAAGTAACACTTGTAATAATGACAAACAATGAATACTGTCATAATGACAAACAAACTGTCATAATGATAAACAAAATGTCATAATGACAAACAGTGCACATTAATGATTTTGTTTTTAGGGTGAACAAGGTCTACATGGTAGCGTTGGACCTGTTGGACCTGCCGGACCACCTGGACCCGCAGGAGCACCTGTAAGGAACAATAAATTGTCATGAATAATAATTGATCATCATTATCATCATCATCATCATTATTATTATCATCATCATCATCATAGGGTGAGCCATACAAGGGACCAGCATTCTACCGCAGCAAGTTTGATGAGAAGCAAGACATCAGCCAGCTTAAGAAAGTGAGACTGACTCACCATCAATCTCTTTTTTATTTTTTAAATTTTTATAGCAATTTTTGTTTGTTGAGTTGAAGTCAATTGAGGAGGAAATGAACAAGATGGGAATCAACGAGAAGCTCCCACGAACCTGTGAAGACCTTAATGTAAGGGACACACTCCATTGCACTTTGCACTTTTTTGTTTGTTTATGCATGATAGTCGAGTCTACATTGCATGCATATGCTGCACTATTAATTGCATTTGTATGTTTATGTGTGTATACTGTTAAAGAGAGCTCTACACCCACGTACATGTACATATACATGTATATGCTGATTGTACAATGGTAGTGATATTTGACGATAAGTAAACAGCAAAGGTGTTTTCCAAGGGACAGTTTTTTTTCTCCCCCTTGTTTACCCCTAATGATGCTGATGATGGGTGACTATGGCTGTGTGAGCACAATTACCTAGTCTACATTCTAGTACACGTATATCATTATTTGACAATGACACATGAATACATGTGTATTGTATCCATACTCCCTCTCTTTCTCTATACAATAGATGCAACATCCTGAGTACAGTAATGGCGAGTATACCATTGATCCTAATATGGGATCAACCAAAGACTCTTTTAAGTCCTTCTGTGAGTTCAAGTCATCTACCATCAGGACGTGTGTAAACGTAAGTCACTGGATATAATTAATTATCATGCGCACTATTGGTGTGTCTACCATCACATGTGGGTGTCCATGTACCATATAATGTTATGACTAATTTAAGATAATGCAATTTATGCGGATGCACTGCAGAGTGTTCATTTATAGTAATTTACATACATACATGTACATGTATGTATTTGTGTGTTTGATTTTAGTAAAAGCTTGCTTTATAAGCAGTATTTATTAATAATGATTAGAATAATGCAATCCCAGCTAAGATGATATAATAAATGACGTCCTTATAGTGTCTGCATGGACTATGAACTATGGGAGAATCCCCTGGTAACTCCCTTATTATATATTCCCAGCATGCCATTTCTTTGCTGTGTGTAGTTCTTGATCCATGTCTTTGTGATTCCCATGTATAGTCATAATATTTTGAGATTGTGCAGCTGTGTGGTATTCTAGTACCATGGAATGCTGGGTTTTTTGTGTTGTTTTAATATGCAGCACTAATTAAATTCTTTCTCTCTCTTGTGGTGGAGCAAATTAATCATAATGTGTTTGTACAAATAAATAACTAAGATTTTAGGACAGGCCACACAAATGAGTAATTTCAATGCTACAGATAGTACATTAAGAAAAAGAAAAATGAGCAAGCTGCCTTAAGTGATAGTTATAGTTATTATTATTATTATTTCATATGCATATGAATATTAATACATGTGTAATTGTAGTGAGATCACAATCTATGAATATTATAGTAGTTAATGATCTAATGATCAAAGAATGGATTTTTTTATGAATTGCACGACATAGATTGATGATCTCATATAAACACAATGCAATGATGCTTTAATAGCATCATAAAGCCTTAGGCCACACAACAATCGATCAGCTTAGTCAGTTAAGATGTCGCCATGAGCCTCGTGTTTTTTGATAATTTCACTCTGACATCGATCATTGTAGTGTTTATCTTGCACATTCAAGGAGTGATATCATTTACTTAATAATGTGTGACTATTATCATAGATAGGATGGGATGTAGTACTTCATGCTGTACATGTATATGTAGTTGATTTGAGGCAGTAAATTTTTGTTGTCATTAGTAGAGTTTTAAGACAAATAAGACATTATGTTATGATAGTTATCTAAAAATCAATTGGAATTTATTTAACTTGGCAGTACTGTGGTAGTAATTTTTGTTTGTACTCTCTCATTCCTCCCCCTCCCCATGTATACATCAAGGGAGATCTTTTATGCTATATTTAGTGAATGAGTCAGAGGTACTAATAATATCTGTCATTTCCCTTTGCAGAATGAAACATCAACATCTCAATTGGGATACCTACACTTGTTACATACGCACGTTTCACAGACCATCCAATTGCCTTGTGGAGCAAAGGGACCATTCTAGTAATGAAGCTTTAGTTCCATGATTATAATTAAATTCTCTCTCTCTCTCTTTATTCTTTAGCCTCCAGCCTTATGATAGTGACACTGCCATTGAAGTTCCATTGAAAGACAGGAAAGACCTTAAGATCACCCTCTCTGGCTGTAGTCCAGTAAGTTTGCAGTTGCTTTATCTTCAATGTTTGACAGTATCGATAATATCAATGCACTTGCAATTTACTGATTGTTTCTCTTGTGTAGTTCTCAATGTTGCGTGAAGTAGAGTTTGTATCTGATAATGTCAACCAGCAAATGCTCCCTTTCACTCACTCAATCAATGTCAATAATCAAGATTATTATTTCAAAGACATCTGTTTCTATTAAATAAAAAACTGAGTAAAGGATTGAAACGTTTTTTTTCTGTTTATAATAATAATAATAATTCAAAATAATGATTAATAATGTAATCAGGTTTTTCATAGACATACATTAATTTTTGAGTTTGTTATACTTTGTCCTGTTCAATTTAAACGCTCTTGATAATTATGATATTTATTCTGATTTGGGCTTGGAGTTTAAGGTTTATGATTTTTAAGGGCTTATATAAGCCTCAAGGGAAGTACTCTTTATTGCATCAACTTGCATGTGGATCATGTGACCACATGATGTAACTTAATAGGTCTGATTGGTTTTGTAATAAGTACACACAATTAAAGCTGCATCAAAGCACTCTTGGTTGCATGCATCCTTGTGTCTATGATGTAATCTGTTGAGCATTTCCAGTACTTAAGGAATCCAGGTCGTTTTACTGGTTTAAAGCCTATTCTGCACATCACCATATAGAGGTGTTGCATTGTCGGCAATGCTTGTTTGCTGCGCTGACTTAGCTATTATAGTCTAGCAGATTCAGCAATTTTTTTTCATAAAAGTGAGGCTAAATCTTTATATTTTCACTATAGTCTACTAGCTGAAACAAAGAAAAAAAGATGAGAACTTCACCTCAAGTAGTAATTTTTTATTTTGGTTAGTTTTTAATGTAGATACTAAATTAACCTAGGCCTATCTAGATATCACTGCACATCATGATTGCAATTTGCAATAATTATATATAATACATTCATTTTGCATGAATATTGTATAGAAACCACTAGATCTAAATCTAACTTGTTTTTATTGTAGCCCTATTGTGGTTAAAGGTCACAAGTTACGAGTTCGACTGTAACAAGCTGGTCGACGTTTGTCCAGGAGAAACAGTCCAAGTTTACTGTAGGGACAATGAGGGGTCTAATACTATCATGTGGCGTGTCAGGAGCAGTTTGGCTAACAAACCCTGCCGGGCTTATTTCGGAGTTCAAGACTCGTACGGGACTGTAAAGGGTCTAGAAGGAAAAGGGGAAAGAAACTGTCACGAACTTGGTGGGGCAAAGCTCTTGAGCAAAGTGCCAAACTCTACGAACCTCACACTTAACCTAGCTCTGGATCTTATCAGTGTTACTTGTAGAAGCACAGCTCAAAACTCTCCCAGTAAAGTAGTCTGTCCCATAACATTTAAAGGTAAGCTTTTGTTTTCTCTCTCGATCGAGTGGCTCTAAATCTCTTTGGCAGTTTTTGCCATTATTTCTGTCATTATTGTCTAGATACAACTTGTTAACACCTTGAAGTGTAAACAGGAACATTCCGAGGTGTAAACAAGGTGGCAAAAAATACTTATTGATGCTGCTGGTATCATTTTTTGTTTTTCTTGGGATCAGCATCATCTATGGTTTTCATATAAATCTAAATGGCTGCCTAAAAATTATTAGACTACAAAGAATACATTCTTATTTCCTATGCAGCTCTTATTATTTAGTACTATTATTTTTCTTACAGGGAAGCCTTCACCACCAGAGAATGTGTCCTACGTCAGGCAGGGAGATGATCAAGTCTTAGTATTGTGGTCCTCCACTAACAAAAGTAACTCTTACAAGATGATTGTCACTAGCTCACAAGCTAATGAAAGCTACAATAGAACTCTTTACAAAAATTCTGCATTGTTGACAATAAAAAAAGATGTTGACTACACCATCACTGTTACTGCCTTAAATTGTGCCGGAGAGCTCGAGAGTCTTCCATCAGAGCCTATCATGATATTATCTCCTCCTGATGTGAATGTCACCATAAAGGACGATAATCTAACGATAACATGGAATCAATCACAGGACGAATGCTTTATAATGAAGATTGAAGATGAGCAAAATTTGGAATGCAGCAAAAAAGGAAGTCTTAGCAGAAAGCTAACGTCTCATAAACTGTATGAGATTGAGTTACTTTCAAAAGCTAATGGAAGTCTTGTCACTGGTTCCCTTTGGAAAAAGCAATACTGTGTTGCTTATTCTGTGAGTCCCCCGCCTCTAGTTTATGCTCTAGTGTCAAACGACATTCTTCAAGTGAATGTAACAGTAGGGAGTTACTGTGATCCAGGTGAACTCCTTCAAGACTGCCTGTGTCCTGTACCAAGTGAAATCATACTCCAACTGAATGGAGAAAACAAGACTCATCATGACCCTACGGAAACAACAATAAACATTGACCTCTCTGACATATCAAGTGAATCTGCTATCGTCTTTGGAACTGTATGGGTAAAGAACAACTGTGGAGTGAGTAAAGGTGTCCACTTCTTTGAACATCTTCCAATCTCACCTAAGACTGATGATGATACACCAACAGATGGCATAGGATGTATTGTACCTAGTCTGGTCCTACTACCCTCATTATTGATATTATTAGCATTACTGTTTGTATAGAGTATAGTACCCCTCCATTCACCCAATTTTCAACCAGCAACATTCAGTCAATCTCCCTATTTGTATAATTTTTATTTAATATTTTTTTATCAGTATCTTCTATTAGGACAAATTAAGGCATAATAATCACTATAGCTAGATATTTTTAAAATAATTTTAAAGATTTTTAAAATAATGCTAATAATTATTATTTTCAAATATTTTCTTCTCTGCTGAATCCTCCATTATCAAGGGAGCAAACGACAGGCGGTACGGGATAATCGCTTTCGTCTGATATTGAGAACTCTGACTTGAAACAAGGGTTCATGACAACTTTTATGTCATCATCCTTAGGAACTATGACATCTCTCACGACAGTAACTGTGTTTGCATTTAATGAGCTGCACCTGCACATTGAGCCGATGCAATGACTAGCATGAGGAGGAGGAAGAAGTTGAGGATTAATAGCAACATTTGTAGGAAGGAGGTGGGGATGAAGAGAGGAAGGGGGCTGATTTATTTCTTTATAGCAAAACAAACGATAGAAGCACATGAGGAGTATAGCCACCAGTAGAATGAGTAGCAATGCAAGGAAGCATCCAACAGCACCACTGCTAATACCAATCACCAATGTATCACCATTATCTGAGCCGCCTAAAAAAAGGGTTATTTATATTACACTCAAGTTTGATTAGTATAAATAATCTGCAGTGGGAATTTAGTGTCTATTGTAATTACTATCAATTACCAGTTGCTCTTGATGTGGTGGAGACAGTAGCTGTACTAGTGCTAGAAGTTGTGACGGACGCTTGTTAGAAGACATTGAAAGTAAAAGGAAATGCAAAAGATAACAGCTTACTGTTTATCATTGTACTAGAGCTGTATCCAGTAGAGCTGTACATTGTAGTAGACTGTTGCATAGTTCTAGCTTCGTCAGTGATTGTAATGCTACTACTAATAGTAATGGTATTAATACTGCTTTGTGTTGATGATGCAGGCAATAAGAATGTGCTATTGACAATGCTACTAGTAGGTTGTATGGATGAGGTTATGATAGGGAGTGATGTTACTGGTGTCAGTGTATCTTGTGTGGACTGCAGTACAAAGGAAGGTGAAGGAAAGGAAGAGGAGAATGAAGAGGAAGGAACTAGAGTAAAGGGAAACATCATGTCTTAAAACAACATATCGAGGACACACACAAACTGACTTTTTGTAAATGCTTCCATACCAATAAGGTGTCCATCACAAGCAATCGCTTTAATGATTACTGATGCATTTTGATATCCTTCATCTAATGGCAAAGGCAGATATGAGTTACTTGTTGTGAAGTTTATAAACGATGAGTTATTAGTAATAATGGTGATGTTGTAATATTCAAAGGTAGAATCTGGCGGCGACCATGAGAGGATCTCTGACTGTTTGTTATAAGTCAAGTTTGTTGGTGGTTTAGGAATTTCTAAAACAAATTTATAAAACTGAAAATCATTACATAGCCAAAAACACAAACAGAATTATGATAAATTTGTCACTGATGATTAAGCAGCTAATTATTACATGAACAATGTGGATATCATAATCACAGTAACTCACCATTTGCCTTTACTGTACATTGTTTAGTGCCTCCATTATCATTATCTGCACATGTGATCACTGTTCCAAGTGGCACCAAACTGGAATTAAAACTCAGAGTTGAGGTTGCACTTGGTTCATTTATTAAAGTAGCTGTAAAACTTCCTTTCTCTTCCTTGTCCCCAATTGTATTCCCGAATGATGAAGCAACAAATTCTATTATAGATACACTACTGCCATTGTCAATAGACCACCAAATATAGTTACTAACAACACTACAATTCAATGTTATGCTTTCAGATGAAGGACAGAGTTGTTCAGACTCCCCACAGTCAAGATGTATCACTTGAGAAGCTATTAAATCTAAAAAGCAGATTAATAATGATTACACATAATGAGGATATGAGGGAGACCCACCAGTTAATTGTCCCATTAGTAGTGAGAGGGTTAGAATAAGATATGGTATGGAGCTCATCATGATGCTCTGAGAGAAGAGGCTACTGGTAGTTTCTTGAATGACCCATTGCTCTTTCCCAGAACTGAAGATATGAGGTTATGTTTAACTACACAAAATGGAGTCTTTTGTAAACTGTAGTAGACTACACAAACAGGAAATGGGTTATTGTAGGCATATTTCAATGACTTCATAAGGTCACATCATGATATCTACTTCATCAAAAAAGGAATAAAACATCAGACTATTGGCTAGAATGCATCATAATGAAAGCATATCTAACGCCTGCACATTTTGCTAAAAGGAAGCTCCTTGAATCTCGCAGGTTTATTTTTCAATTATGATCATTATCATCAAATTAGCAAAAAATAAAAATATAATGTTCTCAATATTCGCCAGCTGTAGCATAGCAGGAATTGTCTGTTGTTACTATGGACGACCCTGCATTTTAAAAATCAGTGATAAGAACTTATAATTCAGTGCATACCTTCGTCAAATGAGAACTGAAATGATGGCTCTGCGTAACAAGGGTTGGACCTACATGCCCATGGTTCTTCATAGCAAGGGTTAGGAGAAATTGGTAGAATCATAAAAGATGGAGCTCTACCACCATTATCTGTGATAAAAATAATGATAACAAAATTTTAATGAAATAACAAAAACTACCTGAGGAAGTTTGTCTAGCAAGACTAGCATTAGTAGTCACAGTCTCATAGCAAGGATTCGCTTCAAGGGAACATTTCTGACCAGGAGATTTCCTCTTCCTCTTTCTGGCAACCAATATGGAGCAGATACAAACCAAAATGAAGAGATACAAAATGAATAGTAAAAAGCTTGGGATAGCCAGTAAACCAAATACAATCACAAATGACTGCTGACCTACTATTATATAATTTTATTAGTACATACAACAAATCATTTTTTTAATACCTGGTTTTGGTGTCATACTAGGAGGGAGTAATATTTGATTTGTTGTTGATGTAAAAGTGCTATCAGTCTTAGAGCTTATTACTGGACTTGATGTAGTCAATGGTATATTAGGAGTGAATGGTAACTCAGGACTAGAGACACTCGTCATAGAGACACCTTTCAACATACAATATTAACAATATGTACACTGTAATGGAAATGGGCACGTATTTAGATGGCCGTAACTCAAAAAATTGAAGCCGGAATCAGCTCAAACTTTCTACATAGAATAAGTACATCAATATGTATCAGAAAATGTAATAAAAATTTGGGGTGATTTTGGAGCCATTTTTTGGAAAAAACCATGGGCTATAGCCTTGGGTATTTTTAAAAAAAAGGCCAATTTTTTATAATGGCAATAAATCGAAAAATTGAAGTCGGAATCAGCTCAAACTTTCTACACAGCATAAGTACATCAATATGTATCAGAAAATTTAATAAAAATTTGGAATGATTTTGGAGCCGTTTTTTGGAAAAAACCATGGGCTATAGCCTTGGGTATTTTTCAAAAAATGGCCAATTTTTTATAATGGCAATAAATCGAAAAATTGAAGTCGGAATCAGCTCAAGCTTTCTACACAGCATAAGTACATCAATATGTATCAGAAAATTTAATAAAAATTTGGAATGATTTCGGAGCCGTTTTTTGGAAAAAACCATGGGCTATATATAGCCTTGGGTATTTTTCAGAAAACGGCCAATTTTTATAATGGCAATAACTCAAAAAATTGAAGTTTGAATCACCTCAAACTTTCTACACAGCATAAGTACATCAATATGTATCAGAAAATGTAATAAAAATTTGGAATGATTTTGGAGCTGTTTTTTGGAAAAACCATGGGCTATATAGCCTTGGGTGTTTTTCAGAAAATGGCCAATTTTTTAAATGACCATAACTCAAAAAACTGAAGTCGGAATCAGCTCAAACCTTCTACATAGCATAAGTACATCAATATGTATCAGAAAATGTAATAAAAATTGGGGGTGATTTTGGAGCCATTTTTTGGAAAAACCATGGGCTATAGCCTTGGGTATTTTTCAAAAAATGGCCAATTTTTTTAAATGGCCATAACTCAAAAAATTGAACTCAGAATCAGCCAAACCTTCTACATAGCATAAATATATCAATATGTATCAAAACGTAGTGCTTTTATTTCAGAGCCATCTTAAAAGCATGAACTATATAGTTGGTGGTATGTTTCATACAGTGGCTCATTGTACATACCAGTGGCATTAGAAGAATCCTGTACAATTTCAAAATGTACACTTGTCCAATTGCCAGTACTCAATGCATTAACAGCAGCAATACTGACTGTAAAAACAGACCCAACATAACCACTGGGAACATCAATAGAGAATTGGGAGTGTTTTGAGCCATACATCACATAGGTGTCGTTTCCATGTATGGTCGCGTTGTGACGTAACAGATAAGACATGATGGGTGGCCTTCTCTCATCAAAGGGATACTGTAATGGTGTCAAGATAAAAAATGAGAGTAAGATCTATTCAGAGAGTATCATTTCCTTCTTTGTCAGAGGAAACTTGTGACTACACTTTACTAACAGTAAACAACAACATGAGCAGTGTTGTTGGATTAAGCTTACACAGAGAATGCTTGCATGAGTAAAGAGTTCAATAGGCTACTATTTGTGTATATAAGGAATTTGATGTATATGTATGTGTATGTGTGTGTATGTATGTGTGTGTGTGTGTGTGTAGGTGTGTGTGTGTGTATGTATGTATGTGTGTGTGTGTGTGTGTGTGTGTTTGTAAGTGTGTGTGTGTGTGTGTCTACAATTACAAACTAATTTGTGTTTTGTAGATTTGTAAATCTTTGTTCCTGCATGTGTGTGTGTAGGTCAGTGAGTAAATTGTCATTCTTACTTCAATAATAATTCTAATGACTGCACTTTTGTTGTTGTGGTCACTCCTCGTTGGCAACAGTGTAAGTGAGCTGTTTACCACTTCAACGTCGTCTGGATCTAATTTAAAAACAAGCACATTAACACAAAAAATGCAATAAAGAACACCAATAAATATGCAGCATCAGAAAATGTAATGAAATGTGGGTCTTAAATCTTTAATTGTTAAATTTATTTATTTATTTATATGAGAGGGGAGGTCAGTACAAAATCAAATTGGTAGATCTGATCAAAATAATGTATATACAATTATACGTACCATCTAATGTGAAATAGAGTGAAGGAGAGAAATCACTAATATATCCAAATGAGTCTTTAGCTTGAACCACAACGTAATAATCAGCTCCTTTAGTTAGATTTGTAACATTAAGTCTTTGATTGTATACAATGAATGATGCAACATCGACTGATGTATTAGTATAGAGATGAACAAAGAATGATTGAACAGTATCAGTAGCACTGGTCTCCCAGCTAAGCTCTGCTGTAGTATAACTGATTGCAGTAAATGATAAATTTGATACATGAACAGATGATTTACCTATTAATTCATTGTAACGTAAACACATAATACATACACAATTACACATACCAGTAGTGACTTGTATCCCAGGACTGTAACTACCTTCACCAATACAATTAATAGCAGAGATTGAGAGCAAGTATTGAGTATCATTCTTAAGTCCTGATATTAGAGTCTTGTTAGTATCACCAGTTGTCAGGTTACACTGATGGACAGGACAGTTGAAACTAGTTCCATTTACATAGGACACATTAACAATGTAGCCAGTAATAGGAGCAGTAGAGAGGGAAGCTGGTGGACTCCATTCAAGACCAATAGAACTCTCAGTAATATTAGTAACTGTTATATTAGCTGGAGGACTTGGACGGTCTACAAATAATTATTTTAAAAAGTAAAAGCAAATTATACATATTATCTTACTAATAAACTGTATCCCACATTCTTTATAACTTCCACTGAGTCCATCAGCACATCTAATACTGAATCCTTCCATTGAATTACTAGCCACTATACTAATGGATAATGTAGATATGGTTGGATTCCGACCGACTAGTGTAGTTTGAATTGATCCACTATTGTAAGTTTCTCCTAAGTCAGAGTTAATGGAGTAAGACTTTACGTGGACCCCATTCATCAACCAGGCAATGACATTACTCGATACTTGACAAGTTGCTGTTAAATTAGTACTGGAGCAAAGCTGAAGTCCTGGACAATCCAAAGAAACACCAGCTGCAAAAAGTGAATCACTAATTAATAAGATCATGTATCAATTTGATAAGCTAACCTGAAGTTGATAAAAACTGTAGTAGTATCAAAAAGAGAAAAAATAACTCCATAGTATCTATAATGACTTTATGTTTGTATGATTTCCAACTAGCTTTTGGTGCAGCAGCAGCTGCTTGTATACATGCAGGTCATAGGCTGACAAAGGTTAAAATAACTTCATTCCATTGACTGTTCTGAGCTAAATAAATTATGAAAAAATGCTGCCTCCTCCAGGTTTAGATCTAATGCTATCTAGATTTAGATGAGAAATGAGAATTAAAATAAATTGGATCATTATATTTAAGGTAAATATTTTTAAGAGAAAATACTTTAGATGATGAGACAAAAAGAGTCGGAGGGACTCTTCAGCACATTCACTTCCTGTGTCCTATGCAAATTTGCACAAAAATATTATAATTTTTTATGCAGGTCTCAGAGTTTAGTCTAGATTGACAGGTAGAGAAATCAAGTTATGCAACTAGCCTAGACTCGAATTTTGTAAATGGTAGATAGTACAGGAAGTGATTGATGCTTAAATACGTAATTACCCACAAATCAAATTCAAATCTATGCATAAGCTGTGTTTACATACCAATAAGGTGTTTAATTTAAAGTTGCACGGCATGTATATAAATTATGTCAGGAATGAATACACAATGAATGGGTGGAGATGCGATCCGTAATCTGATCCGTCCGTTATGAATATACTGAATCCATTGTTTGTGATTCAGCTCAATTCAATTGTTGGGACGATGATGGCTTTAGCCCTGTTATTAGGACTCATACTAGTCTGTACCAGGTCGACAAGTAAGCTTCTGATGCCACTCAAACATTTTCAGGTAAAATTATGATTGTGTAGGTGGTGATGTGACTGAATTTCAATGTACTAATGGAAATGTGTATGCTGGAGACAGGGTATGGTGTGACTGTATGACAAGTACTGGAGTAATAGACTGGAACATCAGTTATGTAGCACTAGGATCGTGTGATCAGAACTTGATAAATGTCAAATCAGAAATTTTCAATGCAGCTACAACTGATAATGCTATAGAATATTATGGATACAATTTTACCCATAATGCTGATAACAACAGCTCAAGCCTCACCTTTTATTTGAATACATCTGAAAGTGTTTCTGTTACGTGTAGAAATGGTGATAAAGGAGACGGTGCAACTCTAGTAATCCCTGACGCAGGTCAGTCATACATACTATAGTTGTTTTGAAAGTAATGTAACAAAAAATGATGCCACTTTCAATGTTTTGTATTATTATTAATAATAGGCTATGTAAAAGCACTAATAAACTTAACAACAGACTTCAATGCAAGTGGAGTTACTCTACACTGGGAGGATATTGGGAATAACTGTGATTCTACTGTGTATAACGTGGCTATTTATGATAATACATCAACCAGTGTATTGATACATAATACTAGTGACACAACGTTACATATAAACTCAAGTGATTTATTAAAAAATGTAACCTACACATACACTGTTAAAAGGTGCCAGCACTGTAGTATCAGTAAACCATTCACACTTGGTAAGAATATAGTACATAGCTAAACAATATGCGTTTACCTTTGATTTGTAGCTCCCATTGAAGTAATGAGTGTTACAATAGCTACCACTAATACTTCTGATCCTTGTAAAAATGATAGTTGCTGTGTTAATGTTACACTGAATATAATACTGGTGAGAGATAATGATTTTTATAAAGTTAACCAACAATTAATGTAGGAATCATCAGACATGTGTTTAAAGCATCCAAGTCAGAACTACAGTATATCATACAATTCTAATACTGAAGATAAACCAGTAACATTTAAAATAAATGAAACAAAATGGACTGGATCATTAAAACACAATGAGACCTATTGCTTTATCGTCACACCAATGAATGATTTTATCACAGGAGAGCCAATAAGTATGTTGCGTGTGTATCTAATAGTTATATATTGAGTATTTTATGTATACAGATAATGATACAATGATTACTGAATATCAATGTAAATCACCAGGAAATGGAAATAATGGTAGTAATGGAGGAGGTGGAGGATGGGGCATAGGATGTATTTTAATAATTATTTTTGGAATCATCATTGGACCCATTTTTGTGATTACCATAATCATCATAATCATATACTTCTTATGCAAAAAGAGAAACCAAGCAAGAAGAAATAACAATTGAATAAGCTTTAATAAGTGTTGTTTTTGTTATTGGTAGGAACAAGAGTACTTTTGGTACAAAATATTATATAATTAGAATTAAAATTTACATTAATTTATTGTCATTTTTTGATTTTAATAATAACAATAGTATTACATCAATTAGACAAATGTAGTAGCTATACATGTGATCACTATAAATTTATGTGTGATTTCCATATCATGACAAAGTTATAACTTTTTGCTTGTTAAAGGCAATACCGGTATGCACATAAGAGTCATGTAAATACTGTCCACAAGTTGTTTTGACAGTAAAAAGAGAGCAAATGAATGTTATTTTCAATGTTTTGTATATCAATAATAAATACAGCACCTACAAACTTAACAACAACCTTCAATGCAAGTGGAGCTACTTTACAATGGGAGGATACTGGGAATAACTGTACTTCTACTGAGTATCAAGTGATGGTTATTAGTTGTTCATGTACATCAACCAGTGTATTGATACATAATACTAATGAAACAACCTTACATATAAACTCAAGCGACTTATTAGAAAATGTAACCTATACATACACTGTTAGAGGGTGGAGTAAACAGCAAAGTAATAACAGTGAACCATTCACAATTGGTAAGAACAATATGTACAGCTCAACAACAATGTTTTCCTTAGTGTATTAGTATTTACAAAAATTTGTGGTCCAATTCTCAATTCTTATTTTTTTATCTATATCTATAGCATTAGATCTAAAAGAGGCATCATTTTTCATAATTTATTTAGCTCAAAACAGTCATATATTCAGTATTATATTCAGTGTAACATTAACACAGCAATTATTATTCTTATAAGGATTAGCTAGTAGTATTAGTTGTATCTATTGTAATACTCATCTCTTAGCTAGGAGCTACAAATTAAAATAAAGTTAGTGTATAAGTCTGTGCATAATACATACTGCTAGACTATGGCTTACAGGAAATTCATGCAAGCATAACAAGAAAACATAATTATCAAGTCAGGCATCTGTATCTAATCCAAGTATCAATATTATCAAGTATGAGTATATAAAGCTTGTTTGGCAAGATCTATAGATTCAATCAGTACAGGCAAAAAGAGTGGGAGGGGCTCTTCAGCTAAATTCACTTCCTGTCCTGCTTACATAAAATCTATAAATAGATCTAGATCTATATACCCTATATGTGTGTTTACTTTATATACCAAAAAAGGTGTTTAATTTCATGCTGCACAACATGTATATATTTAGCCAATTGTACTATGTTAGAAATGAATACGCAATGAATGGGTGGGCATGTGACCAGGAATCTGATCTGTCCCTTATGGATATGAATATACTGAAGTGATTGTTTGTGCTTTTTGTTCAGTTCAACCATTGGGATGATAATGGCTTCAGCTCTGTTATTAGGGCTCATACTAGTCTGCACTGGGATAACAGGTAAGCCTTTGATACCATTCAAACATTAACATTATGACTGTGTAAAACATTTTGATGCTAATACATACTATTCAATTTTATACAGATGGTGCTATCACTAACTTTACATGCACTGATGTAAATCACCAGGAAATGGAAATAATGGTAGTAATGGAGGAGGTGGAGGATGGAGCACAGGATACACTTTAGGAATTATTTTTGGAATCATTGGACCCATTTTTGTGATTACCATAATCATCATAATCATATACTTCTTATGCAAAAAGAGAAACCAAGCAAGAAGAAATAACAATTGAATAAGCTTTAATAAGTGTTGTTTTTGTTATTGGTAGTATTATACATCAACATACTGGTTGATGTACATAAACAACTTGTTTATGTACATCAACCAGTATGTTGATGTATAATACTAGCAACACAACCTTAGATATAAACTCAAGTGATTTATTAGACAATGCTAATTTATTAATTAACATTGTCTAATTTATTAGACCATCTGCAAAAGTGAATCACAAATTAATAAGATCATGCATGAACTTGATAAGCTAACCTGAAGTTGATAAAAAACTGTAGTAGTATCAAAAAGAGAAAAAAACAACTCCATGGTAGCTATAATGACTTTATATTTGTATGATTTCCAACTAGCTTTTGGTGTAGCAGGAGCTGTTTTTATACATGCAGATCATAGGCTGACAAAGGTTAAAATAACTTTCATTCCATTGACTGTTCTGAGCTAAATAAATTATGAAAAAATGCTGCCTCTTCCAGGTTTTATCAGATCTAATGCTAGATTTAGATGAGAAATGAGAATTAAGAATTGGATCACAAATTTTAAGGTATAAAATAATTTAATGGAAAAATATTTTATGGTTCCAATCAGAGCAAAAGGAGTGGGAGGGGCTCTTCAGCTAAATTCACTTCCTGTCCTGCTTATCTACACAGCCAAGAATTATCATGGTCAGACATGCTGATACAGTACTAGTACTACTGCTCAAAGTCAATGGATCAGGCCTGATTACTTAAGTGATACAGTCCTGATAGGCTATCAGGACTGTATCACTTAAGCAATCAGACCTGATTCATTGACTTTGAGCAGTACTACTGTATCAGCATGATAATTCTTGGCTGTGTATGCAATAAGCTGTGTCTCTGTTTACATACCAAAGGTGTTTAATTTCATGCTGCACAGCACATGTATATATTTAGCCAGTTGTATCACGTTATAGTTAGGAATAATTGTGCAATAAATGGGGGGGTATGTGTCACTATGTGAACAGGAAGCTGATCTGTCCCTATAGATATGAATATACTAAGTCACTGTTTGTGCTATATACTGGAGTGATTGTTTGTGCTGTTTTTAGTTCAATTCAATTGTGTGGAGTGATAATGGCTTCAGCTCTGCTATTAGGACTTATACTCTGCGCTGGGTTGACAAGTAAGCCATTGATGCCATTCAAACATTGTCAGGTAACATTATGATTGTGTAGGTGGTGATGTGACACACTTTCAATGTACTAATGGAAGTGTGTGTGCTGGAGGCAGAGTGGAGTGTAACTGTACAACAAGTACTGGAGCAATAGACTGGACCATCAGTTATAGAGTACTAGGATCCAGTAATCAGAGCTGGACTACCTCAACATTTATGTTCAATAAAGGTAGTAATACTAATAATGATACAGAATATGAATACAATTTCACTTATGATGAGATAAATAATAGCTCAAAGCTGAACTTTTATCTAAATGCATCTGAAAACATTTTTATTGTGTGCAAAAATGGAAATGTAAGTGATAATGAATCTACAATAATAAGGGATTCAGGTAAACAAGTTGTTGTGAAAATAAAAAGTGTATGTTTTGTAATAATAGGTTATTATGCAAAAGCTCCAACAAACTTAACAACAACCTTCAATGCAAATGGAGTTACTTTACAATGGGAGGACACTGGGAATAACTGTACTTCTACTGTGTATCAAGTGACTGTTAATGGTACTTCAAACAGTGTATTGACCTCCTATAATAATAGCAAAACAACTTTACTCATACATTCAAGTGAACTAAACACAACAGAAACCTATACATACACTGTTAGAGGGTGGAATGGACAGCAAAGTAACATCAGTAAACCATTCACACTTGGTAAGAATATAAGCTCAGTAACATGTACCTAATTTTGATTTGTAGCTCCTCATGAAGTGATGAATATTACAATAAATACAACTAATACTACTGATCCTTGTAAGAATAGTTGCTGTGCTAATGTTACACTGAATATAATATTGGTGAGATACAATGAATAATCCATACATGTATTTCAACAATTCATAGGAGTCACTAGACCCATATGTGAAGCATCCAAGCCAGTACCACAACATATCATACAATTCCAATACTGGGAATATACCAGTAACATATGAAGTAACTGGTTATGATGAAACAAAATGGACTGGATCAGGATTAAAATACAATGAGACTTATTGCTTTACAGTCACACCAATGAATAATTTTAGCACAGGAATGCCAATAAGTATGTTGTGTGTGTAATAGTTTATATATTGAGTACTTTATATACTTATACAGGTAATGACACAACTACTCAATATTCATGTGAACCAACAGGAAATAGTGGGGATAATGGTGATGATAAACCAGAATGTAATACAGGATGCATTGCAGCTATAGTAGTTGTTTCAATGATAGTCATAATACTCATAATAGTGATAGTGGGATGCAGAATAGGATACAAAATAAAAAATTCATGGATAAGACAACAAATTGATAACAGACAATCCTTGTGCTGGCTGCATAGATTATGTAAATTGATGGATAATATTTGTTGTTGTTAGAATAAAAGTTAAAAATATTATTATTGTTTTGTTATAGTTTTAACTAACTCACTCAAATATACTTATTACAATTATTATTCTAACTTTCCTTTCTATCTTAAATTTCATATATTTCTACATCTAAGTATATGTACTTTAACCTGTTTTATTTCTAATAATAATAACAACAATATTAAATTAATAATAATAATAATTTGAGGGTGTCACAATAACTCATATGTGGTGTAATTGGGTGGATTGACACATAGACATCTATGCATGAATTGACAATAGAGAATGAAAGTGGCTAAGCCCAGGAGCAATGGAGCAAGAGTTATTTGAGTCATAATTATTGTGTAGCAAAGTGACATGTGACCCTCTTATGAACATTGGATTCTTCATCAGTTATTGTAAATAGCAAATTAACTTAATTTTTACTTCTCCCTTCTGCTCTTCTAAGGAACTTGATTATTTTAAACTACCAGTTTTACAGCAAGTTACAGCAATTGTTTTATCCAGTTATGCTACTCAATACTGTTGCATTACTATTAGGAGTGGAACTTATTCTACTCTACTCTGGATTGGGAGGTAAGCCATTAAGACTATTTAATGATAATAGGTCCACACATTATTCATTTTATACAGATTGTGCTATCACTAACTTTCAATGTACTGATGGGCCAGTATGTGCAGGGGATAGAATAGAATGCAGCTGCACAACAGATACTGGTACTTTAGAATGGTTTGTAAAATACAGTCCAGTAGAATCTTTGATGTGGAACCAAATTCCACAAGTTTCATTTCATGCAATGAACACTGAGGATAAAGAATTTTATGGTTATAATTTCACATTTAATACAACTTATACAGGTCTGAACACTTCAATACTGACCTTTAATCTTAATCACTCTCAGAGTGTACTTATTGAATGTGCAAATGGACAGGAGACTGATAAAATGAACACAACAGTTACTGATTTAGGTTAGTGTACACATCCAATAAGCAATTGCATTTTGTTATATTACAATGTAAAAATGGCAATCAAGGTACAATGACCCTGCAATAATCACACAAGAGTCATGTAAATGCATGTACACAAGTTGTTTTGAAAGTAAAAAAGAACAACTGAATATGTTACCCTTTTCAATGTTTTGTATATCAATAATAGGTTATTATGCAAAAGCACCGACAAACTTAACAACAACCTTCAATGCAAGTCGAATTACTTTAGAATGGGAGGACACTGGGAATAACTGTACCTCTACTGAGTATCAAGTGACTGTTATTAGTTGTTCATGTACATCAACCAGTGTATTGACGTATAGTACTAATGACACGGCCTTACATATAAACTCAAGGGATTTATTAGACAATATAACCTACACATACACTGTTAGAGGATGGAATGAACAGCAAAGTAATAACAGTAAACCATTCACACTAAGTAAGGATATACAGTTCAACAATATGATTTACATCTAATTTTAATTGAATATTTTATTATACAGGTAATGATGCAATTACTTTTCAGTGTGAATCACCACAAAATAATAATGGTACAAGACAATGGCTCATTATTACTTTTATTTTTGAATTTCTACTAGATCTAGCCTTCAATGTTACTATTACTGCAAATAGTACTACTGATGATTGCAGTGATAGCTGTTGTACTAATATCACAATTTCTATACGACTGGTAAGTATAATAAGAAACAAAATTTAATTTCTATTATAAGTACTGCAGGTATTGAACACATCAGACCCACAGTATGCAAATCTAAGCTATAATATATCATATGATTCCATCACCGGTATTGAAGAATCAATGGTAAAAAGTGAAGGAGAATGGAACAAGTTTATACAGCTGCCTCGTAATGAAACACACTACTTTGATTCCAGACAAGCAAAAAGTATGTAATAGAATCTACTGCTTTATAGATTTATGTAGTGTTTTTATATTGGGAATTTTGTAGATCAATGTTCTGAACTTGGTAATCCTACTTGCTCTAATCCAATGGAAAATTCTGGAAATATAGGAAATATTGTAGCAATCATATTAGGCATAATACTTTTTGTTTTTATAGCATTAGCTTTGATGGCTTGCTGCCTTGTAAAGCAAATAAGAGACAAGATCAAAGAAAGTAAAAAGTTTGCATTGTTAAAAGTAATTTGTACTAGATTTTCTATGTGTAAACATAGCTAGTAGTTTCCAATTTTTGATGAGCCTCATGATAGGTACTGACACTCCACTTGTATTAGTTGAAACTTTGGAAACCCTAGTCTCATGGCATTTTCGACTGTTTTTACTTGCTTGATATCATCAATGATTGTCATAAGTATACTCATAAACATAATCATGTGTTTAGAATTATGCAGGAATACACGAATATGTGAAGGAGAACAAAGAGAAGAAATCAATGAAGATAGAGAACATAGAGAAGGAATCGGATTAAATAAAATAAATGAAAATGAAGGAGCAAAGGATGAACAGCCTGAATAATTATGACTAACATTTCTTTTCTACTATTACATTAAACTATTATACAATAAAGCTATTTTTTATCATTATTTTTAAACTTAATAATAAGATTTTAGACTAGATGCATCACAAATTTATTGAATGGGTGGATGTAGCTAGATCACCATGAATTCACTAGTCGTATTCATTTAGAGGGAGTGATTGCATTTTGTTTGTTAGGCGTTTTAGTTAACTTCTTATTGTAAATATGAGAGACTGTCTTTTGCTATTTCTACTATCCACTTGGTTGGCAGGTAAGTGATGCAGTAAAGTGAATACTGTGTAAAATATGTACAATATGTAGTTGGTGCTGTCACTGCCTTTAGTGAGACTGCATGTGTTGAAAACACAGTAAATTGCAACTGCACCACAAGTACTGGAGCAGTTGAGTGGAACATTAGTAAAAGAGCACTTGGATTTTCAGATCAGATTTGGGAACCAGTAACAGAAGTCAATTTCAATAAATTTACACCCAATTTTGAAAATATATATGGGTACAACTTTACATTTGATTGGAATTTAAACAGTTCAGCACTCACTTTTAATCTAAATTCCTCTGAAGATGTTCTCATTGTCTGTGCTAGTGGAAATGAGCAAGACAGCAAAGGTTCTGTCATCAGTAACTCAAACACACTAATGATAAATTATTTCCAAGTTGGCTCTACAATAGAAACATGTATGTTATGTATTAGTAGTATTTTTATAATAAATATATACTTTATAGATAATTGTATCTTAATTCAACATCAGTGTCAGTCACCAACAGGAAATGATAAAGAGAATGAAGGTG